AATTATTTCCCAAAGCCCTATCCAGAGTCACTAGCAGAGCTGCTGTCCACTTTCTGACTTGTATTAAACTAAAGATGTTGCCCCAGTGGAGTGATGCTTGTCCACTCGGTTGGAGTGATTATCCTCTTTGCTTCCTGCTGAACTCATGTTGTGACAGGCAAATAAAATTCAGATGGTCTTGCTGTGTGGAATAAAAAGTCTTTTATCCATACTTCATATCTTGTATGTTTTACTCTTGTCTGGAAGGGGATGACTAATCATTATTAAAGTTGTATTTAGTGCCTCCCAGGGCAGGGAGTGGGGCTAGATTTCTGGGCTCTTCCTTCCTGTGATCTGACTAGGCTCCCGAGGCTGCGTACTGTAATAGCCACTGCAGCAGGGAGATTGTGTTACTTAGATGTTGGTGATTTGGACTTTGGAAAACAAATGTAGGAGGAATTTTGTTTCATTTTCCTGACCCATCAGGTGTTGACAGTGTTCTTCACCATCTGGTCTAGTACCTGACCTGATGTATGGTATGGCTGTTGCTTAGCTGCTTGTATCTGTTGTCTGCACATGCTACCAGGAACTCAATAGTAGGGGATTTTCTTCCTTGTATTGTTACTTCCAATGCTGACTTCATTCTTGGAACATAACCTAGCTCTCAGTAGATGTTTCTTGGATGGGACTGTCCCTGGAACCTGCTCACTTAAGAACTTAGTTGTTAGTAATTAATTCAGCAAATAGACTTTTGAGTTCTTAATCTGTGCCTGGCAAGTTGACCAGGAAGTGGTATCCGGAAAGCATTAGAACTGTGCCTGGCTGAACATAGAATGCAGTGGGGAGAGAGACATGAGAACAATTGTAAACTACGGTTGTTTCACACTAATTGAGAGGCTTTTCAGAGGAGGTTGTAAATTACAGTTGTTTTAGGTGGGGTGTGGTCAGTAGGAGGCCCTGCAGCTTCCTGGGAGAGTTGGGGAAGGCTTTTCAGAGGAGGTGGCCTTTGAAAGCACTAATTGAGTGTCTTGTTGTGCCACACACTTCCCGAGCCCCTGGCACCCCCGATGGCCCAGCTGGGGGGGTGCACTCTAGGCAGTGGCACAGTAGGGCTGGAGGTTGAAAGGCAAGGAGGGCAGCACAAGGCTGGAGAGGCAGTCAGATGGATCAGGGGCCATGTGTGCCAGCTCCGGGAATCCAGGCATAGTCTGTCTTTAGAAAATGTGACTTGGAGTTAGGCCATCTGCAGCTAGTGTCCTGGCCATCTTCCAGAGTCCACCCTGTAGCCTTGTCTCAGAAGCACGCACCTTGTTTGTGCAACCTCCCCCTTACAGGGCACCGTCAGAAGGCAGGTGGCCTGTAGTGCAGCTTTTAGTTTTTTGTCACTGGTGGCACCATGCAGAAGGGCTAGAGGACAGGTGGCCTTGGCCCTTGCAGAGTTTGGATTTAGAGTGTGTTGCAAGCAGAAGTACTTTTTCCCTTTTAGGTGGATTTCCCTTAAGGCTGACACTGTGTTCCTGAGGTTTAAGGAACTTAAACTAGACTTGGGACCAGCAGAGGCCTCAAAGGTGGTTCAGCTTACCCCTGGAAGAGGCCCTCGGGCTGCTGTCCCTGGCTGCCAGGGCAGAGGAGACAAGAGTGGAGAAAGAGGCCACCACCAAAACAGCTGGGCTGTGCCAGATGGTGCTTCCTTCTTCCCTGTGCTTTAATCTTGGCAGTGATTCAGAGAGGCGGTCCTTGGGTTGCCATGAATGAAATACTGTTGTTTCACTTAAATGGTTTCCAATTCCGTAGATATTAGTGAATGCCTTCTGTTTGCCCAAGCACTGATTTTCCTAGGAAAGATACACTTATTATGTGTTCCTGTCTACTCTAGTCTCAAAATTTCTTGTGGGCTAACCCACATCTCTTGTAATACTTTAAGTTCATTTTTTGCAGGTCCTTTAGCTCTTTATGTGGCTGTAAAGTAGGGGAAATGCATGTTTATTGGGCACCTGCTCTGTGTCAGGTGCTGGGTTTGCCAGTGCTTGCACCAAACCTTCTCATTTCTTTTATCCTCATACCAGCCTGTGAGTTATATGGTATTGTCCCATTTTACTGCTTGGGAGGAGGGAAATTGAGGCTCAGAAAGATTAAGCACCTCACCTGCGGTCGCTCAAACTGGTAAATGGCAGAGCCAGATTTCAGCTGGTCTTGTCAGAGGCTGTCAGCTGTTTAGTTTAAGCATTTTCTCTTTTATGGCTTTTTGCTACTTTGATCTGTTGGGGTGTTGATGGTGTTTTGATAGTCCTAACTACCTTTGACATTGTCAAAGATTAGCTCTTAACTATGTGCTAAAAATGTTTCTTACTGTATTTTCCTTCTAATTAAAAAAATACTTAAAACTTTCAAATTTGTATACATTGGAATCTACCTATGTCTTCCTTTTGTGAATCCTATTGCTTCATAACATAACAACTTAAGGGATTTTCTCAGAGCAGGGGACACAGAGACGGTCTGAGGTGAACTTGCCTTGGAGGGATTCATGGCTGTGGGGCTTGGGGTGGAGGCTCCAGCCCAGGAAACTCAGGGCAGTGTGAGCCATGAAACATTTAAAATGTGTTTGCATGTGGTGAGGTGATGCCGAGATCCTTTTGCAAGATGAACTGAGTTTTTGCCCTGTAGGTTAGAGAAACATTTTATTTTTTTGCAGCATCTTTATAATTTTATTTTTGTATTAAGTTCTAATTCTGTCTGTATTTTTGTTTTGGTGTAGTGTACAGTGTGGTTCTAATGTCTAAAAAAAAAGATGGGCCGGCCCGTGGCTCACTCGGGTGAGTGCAGTGCTGATAACACTAAGGCCACGGGTTCAGATCCCATATAGGGATGGCCGGTTTGCTCACTGGGTGAGCGTGGTGCTGACAACACCAAGTCAAGGGTTAAGATTCCCCTTACCGGTCATCTTTAAAAAAAAAAAAATTGATAATCAATTAATACAATACCATGATTTAAATTATCCTTCTTTACTCATTGAGTCATATTTAAAGTTTTTATATGTAGTTCAGTCTGTTTCTGAATTCTGCATTTTGATTCATTCCTTCACATTTCTATTTTTGCTCCAGTGCTGCACTGTCTGACTGGCTCCTTCAATTTCTGGGAGGGAGGGAGGGTGGTTACTCCCCTGCCCCTTTTTTGCTTTTAATGAGTTTCATTTGCTGTGTTGACATTGAGAGGCAGGCCAGGCTTCCTAAAGGGAGAGCGTGAAAGTTCCTTGCAAAAACTAAAATAATATCCAAACGACGACAGCAGTTGTCATTGTTACTTCTGTGCTTTAAAACCTTCAACTGCTGGCCGGCCCGGTGGCGCACTGCTACAGTGCGCCGCTTGGGAAGCGCGGCAGCGCTCCCGCCGAGGGTTCGGATCCCATATACGGACCGGCTGCTCACTGGCTGAGCGAGGCGCGGGGGCAACACCGAGGGTTGCAATCCCGTTGCCGGTCCCCGGTCCGGTACGGGGGCGACACTGAGGGTTGCGATCCGTTGCTGGACACGGAAAAAGACAAAAAAAACAAAAACAAAAACAAAAACAAAAAACCTTCAACTGCTTGCAGTTTGATGATGGTAGCTACCAACAAAGTGCCTGCTGGGGGCCAGGGGTCTATTACATGCTTTTCTTGTGGTGTTTTACTTAATTCTCCCAAGGCAATGCAATGGAGCTGGGATTAGAATCCAGGAATGGCTGAGTCCAAAGTCCTGTTCTTTCTGTTGCTCTACTCTATGGATCAGATTTAAATGCACCACCTGATTTCTTTAGTTTTGACATTTTAAAGGAAAGTAAAAGGTAACGTAACATATGCCAGGGTTCTCAGTCTGTTGCTGTGTTCTCCAGGCTGGTGTGCCTTGCGCGCCCTCTTCCCCACCTCTCTTAGTCCAGAGAACTTTAGATAAGGCCCTAGGGGCATGTGTGTGTGTGTGTGTGTGCACACGTGTGTATGCGTGTGTGTGTGAATGTGTGTGTGAGAGAGAGAGACCACAGTTTTGACTTTCTTCACTCAAGTATTGTAGGTCCTGGTCTTTATTTTTTATTGATTATCTTCACTGAGCCAGCCTCCTGACCTGGATTTTTATAACCCTAAACTAACCATTCTAAACTAGGTGTGGTCTACTTTGGGGTCCCATTGATCCCAGCTCTGCTGCTAAATAGCAGAGTGATCTTGGACCTGTTTCTTAATCTCTCTGAGCCTCGGTTTCTTCAATGGTAAAGGGGATGGGGGTGCTATGCCCTGCCTCATGGACATGAGGGAGCATGATTGACACATTTACGGCAAAGCATGGCCTACTTGGATGTGGTTAGAGTAGTCTTGCTGCAAATGGTGTGTGTAAATTACTTTTTCTGTCTTAATGAAGATATCTTGATTGCTATGCTGTCTCAGAAGTAAAAAACCTTGACTTATGTATGGGTTGTGCATTCACATACTTTTTACAGAGGTATTCTATTTATCATTTAACCCCTTCCAAAAGAAAAATCCCCCCCAAAAATCCTCTCTCTGTCTATCATAGTCCTCATGCTTCCAGTGCTGTCTTGGGGATCAGAGATATGACTGGTGGGGCGGTGATGATGGTGATGGTGAAGATGACTATTTTTACTTTGTTTTTTACTGGGCTGCGCTGTAGCCAACTGAGCTAGCTGGCCAGCTTACCTTGTTTTTTTTTGGTGGCTGGACATTACAGGGGTCGAAGGCTGGACGTTAGTGTTATCAGTACCATGCTCTAATCAACCGAGCTAACCAGCCATCCCCTGGTTATTTTTGCCTTGGATATATTCTTTGTTTGGGTTATCTTCCTGTTATTTTATATCATTGTAATATATGTTAAAACTCTAGCTTCTGGTTCTGAATCAAAACTTGGGTAGGTAGGACTTTTTTCAAGGTTTCTTCCTTTAAAAGGGGTGTGAGAACATTTGACCTGTGTGTCAGATGAGTGGCGTCTTTGGCTTTTATATCTGCTTTCTTAATTTCCATGTTTGTGTCTTTTCTAGTTTCTCCTTGGACCAAGATGACTGATGGAAACCTTTCCACCTCCACAAATGGTGTAGCTTTGATGGGCATTCTGGATGGTCGATCAGGAAACCCCCTTCAGAACCTGCAACACGTGAATCTCAAGGTGCCCAAATCCCAATCGGTGCCTGAGTATGGGCCCAAGCTGAAACTCAGTGCTTTAGAAGATCGACAGAGCCTTCAGTCAGTGGACTCGGGCATTCCTACCCTGGAGATTGGCAACCCGGAACCTGTGCCCTGCAGCGTGGTCCATGTGGAGAGGAAACAGTCCGAGTCAGAGATCATCCCCGAGCGGGCCTTCCAGAGCGCATGCCCACTGCCATCCTGTGCACTACCGGCTCCCACCAGCGCCGAGCAGAGCTTGCGGAAGTCCTCCACGTTTCCCAGGACAGGCTACGACTCGGTGAAGCTCTACAGCCCTACTTCCAAAGCCCTGAACCGCAGCGATGATGTCTCTGTCTGCAGCATGTCCAGTCTCGGCACAGAGCTGTCAACCACACTGTCCGTCAGCAATGAGGACATCTTGGACCTCATGGTCATGAGCAGCTCCAGTGCCATTGTGACCCTGGAGAATGACGATGACCCACAGTTCACTGATGTCACCCTGAGCTCCATCAAGGAAACCATTGACCGCCACCAGCAGGACTGTGTTGATGAACCTGAGGAGGGGAGTAAATTGAAAATATTGGGACCATTTAGTAACTTCTTTACGAGGTAATGCCATCTTTGTCTCTCTAGAAAAGCTAGGTTATTGAATTCAGACCAGTTGCCTGTTTTTGTCTAAAATGTGTTGTGTATTCTCCTGTCTTGTTAAGCAGGCACTGTGTCATACAGATAATTGGGTGTTTTCCCAATAGCCCAGAATCCTGTGGAGCTGTGTATAGCACTGGCGATTCTGCTGTTTGATTTCTCACTGCCAGCTTTTGTTTCTAGGTCCCTGACTCAATTGCATAGTCTGTTGTCACTTCCCAATCTCTGATCTCTTGTGGCTACAGATGACCCATAGGGCCTGCATTACCAGATTAGCAACCTTAGTTTGTCAGCCTTAGCCTCTGAAGGGTCCTTCACACTAATAACTTAAGTTTCTTGGGCCAAGCACAGGGTGCTGACAAGGGTGATGTCAGAGTTAGTAACTCACATTTCTGACTTCAGCCCCACTGGCATAGCCCTGGGCTGGCATTTCCTGGTGCCCCTGGTTGTGTTCCCTGTGCTTCTGTATGGCTTTGCTCTTGTTCATGTTCTGGCCCTTGAGGTGTGTGCTGTCACTGCACTGCAGCCACATGCATTCCCACTCGTATTGGGCCCAGGCCATGCGCCCCAGGTGCCAAGCCAGGCCTGCTGGGCTCCCTGTGTCTCCTCTAAGGCCCTGTGAGGACAGCTCCCCAGCTTCTGCCACTTATTTGTGCTCTCATGCTTTTGTTCAACAAGTGTCTGTGTCCTCGCCCTGTTTTATGTGGGTTGTATGGGGGTAGTATGGTGATAGAAATGATCTTAGGAAATGACTTAGGTTGGGCTTATAGCCTGGTAATGGTGGGAGTGAACACACCAGTCAATTGCTCAAGCAAATGTGAACTCCCAAACTGTAAAGTGCCCTGAGGAAGAGTGTGGGGGCTGTGGTGGAGAGTATGTGTAGAATTGTGATCTGCTCCACAGCTGCTCTTTGGAGTGCTTTGGGCCCAGGGCTTGGCAGGTGGGAGCATTTCTACAGTTGACCCTGGCTGCCCCATGTGCCCCCAGCAAAGACCCTGGTGGACACTGCAGCACTGGGTCCCCTTTGAGATGGAGTGATGTGCTGGCTCAAGTCAGCAGACTTCTGTGACTGTGGGCACAGATATTAACATATCACTCACTGCCTCAGGTGCTTCATCAGCTAAACGTGGGATCATCTTAGATGAGTCTCAGAGCAGTCATGAGTGAAATGATCACCTTTTCTCTCTGGTGTGCTGACAGGTTGGTTTCCTACCATAAACAGAGTTCCTGGTCTCAGAACTCAGTAACTCAGTGATTGCCTTCAATGGGAGGAACCTAGAAGCTTTGGGGGAGACTCTGTCAGTGTTCCTTCTGAGGCTGTAGTCATGTTGTAGTGTTGTGGTTCAGATTTGTATGGCTGAACCATTTCTTTTACTCAGATGAGTGTTTTCCACTTTCCCCGTTTAGGAATACCACCTGGTGCCTGTTAAATGTAGATCCTCGGGATCCACCCAGAACTACAGAATCAGAATCTCAAGGGAAAGGACCTGGGAGACAGGCTTTCAGAATTATCCGAGATTCATGGCAAATCTGGAAGGCAGTGTAGTGGAAACAGCTTGGCTTTGGAATTCAGCAGATCTGCACCCATGTCCTCGCTGTGTTACCTTGAACAAGTTACTTCACCTCTCTGAGTCAGTTTTCTCTTCCCTAAAATAGCATTAATAAGAGCCTAGCACATAGTGCCTTCTATGTTGTTGATGTACGTTATACTCTTACGTTTGTTGTCCTCCTCATCACGGTGCTTTCTATCTCAGCATCTTCATCTATAAAGCGGGGATAATGAGCCTTCCTTCAACTGGAAGTCATGGGGATTAAGTTGGTCAGCATACGTGAGATGTAGTGCAGATCTAGACACACAGTAAGCTCTTAAGCCTCAGTTGTTTGCGGTTATCATGGCTGCACCCTAGTCTGTCTGCTGCCTTTGTAGGACTGGGCCATGGCTGAGTTGATCTGTGTTGGAACCTCTTCTCCTTTGAAAGGAAACATCATCAATTATGCAATTTCTAGACCATTTCTTTCTTTTTTTTTTTTCCTTTTTGTCTTTTTTTGTGACCGGTAACGGGATCGCAACCCTCGGTGTCGCACCTGTACCGCGACCGGCAACAGGATCGCAGCCCTCAGTGTTGCGCCTGCACCGCGCTCAACCAGTGAGCGGACCGGTCTCTATATGGGATCCAAACCCTCGGCGGGAGCGCCGCCGCACTCCCAAGCGCCGCACTCTACCGAGTGCGCCACGAGGCCAGCCCCTCTAGATCATTTCTAAAGCTACTGTTTCTTGAAAATCTCTCAGCTTTGTGACACAGAAAACAAATGTCTCTTTGTTTTATTCCTTGGTTCTTGTCTCCTGACCCTTGTTTTGGTGGCTGTAATATTGTTGTGAGCCACTCTTAAGTACCTTTGGGAAGTGGGTGGAACATAATGACACATGAATCAAAATAAGTGATGTCTTCGGCTGAGTCTTGTGTGTTTTTAAAGTCTTAAAATGTTAGAGAAGACTTTCTATCTAGAGTTCCTTTGAGAGGAAAAGGGTTCTGTGTCAGAAATGTTTGGAGCCCACTAAACACCTTACAGATGAGAAAATGGAGTTACAGAGAATGTTCAATAACTCAGCCCAAGACCTGGCCCACAGCAGGTGCTCAGATGACTGTGGGTTGTGTGAGTTTTTGTTGAGGGCAGGGCCAGGGCTAGAGTTGGTCCTCGGGGGTTCCCAGCCCAGGCTCCTGAGCCATCTGCTTTGTCCCCTCATCCATGTGCCCTTATGTTCTTGTCCTCATTGAGTCAGTTCCTAGGTTGTAGAAGGACAGGGGTAGCATTGTGGAAGGCTGGTCTAGGAGAACACGGTTCAGAGGAGGGGTGGAAGTGGTCACGGAACTTGTGACTGGCAGGAATAGCAGACCTGTTGGTGATGCCGACGGCTTGATGAGGCAGCCTGGGTGAGAGAAGAGCAGGGGAGTGACAGGAGGGCTGGCTGGGCCTGACCTCTGCCCCCAGAAGCTGCAGGCCCAGCTCCCATTTGTCCTTTTTCCACCCACACTATAATAAGCACCTCTGTCCCAGCACCCTGAGCTTTAGAGAGTCCCTATTCTTAAGGAGCTCACAGTCTGTGGGGGAGATAAACAAGGCATTTCAGGGACTAGGGGTGGGGCATGAGTGCTGTTACTGAAGGTGGAGCAGGAGGGTGGCACTGTGGTCAGGAGTGCTTGTTCAGGAGTCAGACTGGCAGGGTTCATTGTGAGCTCTCCTACTTAACTTGCTGTGGGACCTTAGGTAAGTTACAGCTCTGAGCCTTAAGTGGGGGATAAAATTAGTGTGCAGGGTTAGAGATCAAGTAGTTAAAGCGTCTAACTTCCTGGCACTCCGTAAGTAGTAGCTTTCTATGATTCTAACATAAAAATCATCTTTTCTAAAAGATATGTTTTCTAAGGCTTTCTCTAGTTTTTACCTCATATTGTGCTTACTTCAGTCAGTCCATTGCTGAATCACTTAGAGCAGGATTTTGGCACTGTTGACATTTTGGGGTGGATGATTCTTTGTGTGGGCAGCTGTTCTATGCATTGGAGGATGTCTTGCAGCATCCCTGGCCTCTACGCACTAGATGCCAGTAGCGTTCCCAGTTATGACAACCAAAAGTGTCTCCAGACTTTGCTAAAGGTCTTGGGGGCTGGGGAGGGGGCAGGGCAAAATCATCCAGTCTGAGTACCACTGAGCTAGCAGGTTGTAAACGTTGGTATTTATTTCTTTCCTTGAAGGAAATTTACTAATGTAATATAATTTGAACAGGATCCTCATCTTGTATCGAAGAGAGATGCTGTGTTAAGGGATCCTATGAGCCCAATGTAGTTTAATGGTATTTCTCTAAAAACCTGGACAGCAAGTCTGAGAGGAATTCAGTAACACGTTTGTGGTGTGTTTATTTTCCACAGGAGAAAGGGTTGGTTTTTGTGAGGCCAAGGGTTTAATCTGCTAATCTGTGCTGGTTTGGAAGGTAATAATTAGCTCTGAGCACTTACATCTTCTTTTGTGTGGCCCCTTTATTAAGCTCTCAGAAGAGATGATCTGAGTATCCTTTGCTGAAGAGAGATGTTTGAACTGCATTTGAAGGATGAGAAGGAACTTGCCAAATGAAAATGTGGGGGCAGAGGGAACAGCTTGTGGAAGGCTGGGAGGTGCAGGGCACCTGGCTGTGTTTAAAGAACTGGAATGATGGATTTTTCCAGTCTGCCTCCTGACCTAGCTAAGAGCCCCTTGGGGGCACAGTCTGCATCTGGTTCACCCTGGCACTTAGTTGTAATTCAAAAACAAAGTCAGAGGACTGTGGTGGTTGAGATCTGGTACTGCTGAGACCCAAGTTTGAACCTCAGCTCTGCCATTTTTATTTTGTGTGGCCTTGAGAAAGTCCCTGAATCTCTGTGAATCCCCAGTGTGTACTTGGGTGACCAGGATTAATTGTACCTCTTGTAAAAGTGTTGATGTGAGGGTTAAATGAGATAATATAAGTAAATCTCTGGACAGAGAACATACTCAATATACAGGTTGGATTTCTGGCCCTGCTGTCTGCTTTTGTTGGAGTTTCACATATTTCATTTTTATTTTAAAGGTTCTGCTGTATGAAAATGTTTGAAACCACTGGCTTAAGAAACAGGAATCTTCAGGGTACTTTGACTTGATATGAAAGTGCTCGACCAAAATTTTAGTTCCTGTACTGATCTAGGCTTTTGGGATTTGATTCTTTGGAAAGTGACAGAGTAGTGCTAAGGAAGAAATGTGCCCAGTGCTTTCTTTTCAGGGAGGTGAGTTGTTTACCAACAGGTGGATATATTCTAGAGACATGTTACAACTTGAGCCCTTGGCACAGGGAATAGCAGGCAACATTTAGTATGTGCTGGGTGCCAGGTGCCGTTCTTCACTTTTATGTGGTTGCCTTGTTTAATCTTCAACAACTGTGTGAGATGGTATGGTGTGGG